GGACTCGCCCACGTGAAGTCCGAGCTGCAGAAGAGACACACGTGCACAGACCTGGGTGAACTGCGCAGCTACCTTGGCTTGCAGATCACCCGGGACAGAGCACGCCGCACCATTACCCTGACTCAGTCACACATGGTGCAGCAGGTCCTTCAGCGCTTCGGCTTCACGTACTCCTCGCCTCAGGCCACTCCTCTGCCTACTCGCCACTCGCTCTCAGCTCTGCCTTCGGATGAGTCCGTAGAGTCGAGTGGCCCGTACCCAGAGCTTGTTGGCTGCCTCATGTACCTGATGACCTGCACACGACCTGACCTTGCATACTCTCTTAGCATTCTTGCACGCTATGTTGCTCCTGGGAGACACAGACCGGAGCACATGGCTGCAGCGAAGAGGGTGTTGCGCTTCTTGTGCAGTACATCGGGCATGGGGCTTGTGCTTGGAGGGCAGAGTCCAGTGGTCCTCACTGGACACGCAGACGCTTCTTGGGCTGACGACCAGGCTACGCAGCGGTCGTCACAGGGTTACACCTTCAGCCTTGGTTCCGGCTCTGTTTCGTGGCGGGCTACTCGCTCGTCTTCTGTTCTCGGCTCCAGTTGCGAGGCTGAGATCTACGCCGGGGCCATGGCTGCACAGGAGCTTCGCTGGCTCACCTACCTGCTGACTGACCTCGGAGAGCCGCCTCGTACTCCTCCAGTACTGTACGTAGACAACAAGGCCATGCTGGCCTTGTGTCGAGAGCAGAGACTGGAGCACAGAACGAAGCACATTGCTCTCCGCTACTTCCTTGCTCGTGAGCTACAGCAGCGTGGTCAGCTGCGGCTTGCGTACGTGGCCTCTGAGGCCAACACTGCTGATATCTTCACCAAGGCACTTGCGCCTTGTGATCATCAGCGCTTCTGTACTCAGCTGGGTCTTGTGCCTACCTTGCCTCACTTGCTCACCCCTTGACCTTGTTTGTACTGTTGCATATATATATACACCTGCTCTTGCTTGTCTAGCCTTATATATATATGTAATCCTGCATGTGAACTGGCCTTGTGGCCTTGAACTTGTGCTCGGAATGTGTGGTGACTTTGTGATCCACCCTGAGCTTGTTTTGCTTTGCTTGACTGGTCTTGTGACCCCTTGTTCTCCCCCACTTTGCCTATGGGGGTGTGTCAGATTTATTTGACATAGCTACTGTAGGCTATAGTGGGGTAGCACATATGGGGTACAGTTTCCTAGGGTTTGCCTTTTGTACCCAACTTTCACTTAGTCATTTCATTCCTGTTTTTCTTGATTCACATAACCGCCACGTAAGTAAATCTTCGAGAAATAGCGAGCTCCGCGAAGTTGGTCAAGGAGGTCGTCGGTGCGTGGGATTGGATAGCGAGACTTGATGGTGACCCGATAGTCGATGCACATGCGAAGCCCGCCGTCCTTCTTCGGAGTGAACAGGATTGGTGCTGCGAAGGGAGATGTGCTGGCCCGAATGAACCCTTTCTCCAACAGTGCATCAATTTGACTTCGCAGCTCCTCGAGTTCCGGCTGGGTCAACCGCCACTGTGTCCAAACAGTCGGCTGCGCGCCAGGTTCCAGCTGGATTTTGTGGTCCTCAGGTCTCTCGGGTGGCAGTCCAGGTGGCAGGTCGTCGGGGAAGATGTCCGGGTACCTCCGAATCAGCTCCGCTAAATCCGGTGGTACAGCTGCACACAGCTACTCGATGTCTTTTCCGTCGGTGTCAACCGCCAAGTCGCGTAAGCAAACAGCAAACAGCTGCGCGCCCTTGTTGAAGTGGCGAGCTATAGTGATAGCTTTGACGCACCGGGCTTGGATGTAGTTAGGTGTCCATGCAGGCAGTTTAATTAGCCCCTCGTGCTTGTTTATGCTGCACGATCCCGTTGTCCAGTCAATGACGGGGTTGTGCCGTCGCAGCCAATCACGTCCCAGCAGCACGTCGCAGCCGTCCAATGTTGTCGCGAGAAACTTCATGCTGAAGCCGAAATCGTCGCCGCAGTCGATCCTGACCGTCCGTGTTTCTTCCGTTATCGCCAGAGGCGTCCCATCCACGAGGCGAGCGTCAATTTCGGGCAGACACCTGTCAAGTTGCAGCTTGCATTTTTTTGCGCTCGCCAAATTGAAGAGGCTATGGCTGGCCCCTCCATCGACGAACATTTTCAAGTTATTTTTTAACACCTTGCCAGCGACCAGCACAGGGTGATCCACATGTGTATCCCCGCTATTCGGCCGAGTGCGATCGATTGCATGAATCGGAACCACGACTCGGTGGGGATGGTGGGGTTCGGGCGACGGAGCACAGTCAGTAAAGGGCCCGCTAATTACTGACTCTTCCCATTTCCCTGCTCTTTCCTGTCGTTCCCCGTCAGCGGTATTTTCTCGTGGCAGTCTTTCATGTAGTGACCCGTCTTCCCACACCGGTAACACGGTCCCTTAGGAGGGCGGTCGGGTGTATGGACGGCGTTGATCGTGGCCCGATGGGTCTGGCCACGAAAGCGGTTTCCCTCCCGGGAAGCTGCTCTCGCGTACTGCATCAGCGCATCTGTAGACTCCGCCAGCCGTACTGCTTCAAGAAATGATGTCGGGCGGCCCCTGCGAACCTCGTACTGTATCTCGTATTTGAGGCCGCTGATGTATTTATCTAACCGCTCAGCTTCCGACATATCATCAACTTGGTCGGCGAGGCCCATAAATGACGCCGTGTAGTCTTGGACAGAAGCCATCTGCGACCATGCACGCAGCTTCATGCGAGCTTGCTCCGAGGCGGATACGTGCTCGAAGCGATCTCGTAAGGCTGCGCCCCACTCCGTCCACGTGCGTATCGTGGTCACTCCGAAGATTGATTGTGCCACTTGATTAGTCACTGTTGAGGTCCCGTCTGTCGCATGCGTCACACCTGTCGGCGTCCCTGTTTCCAAGGTTCGGCGCCACCACTCAAGCGCTGCACCTCGAAGAAGCGAGACCGCGTAATTAATACGCGTGGCATCGTCGTTAACTCCTGCTGCAGTGAAGAAGACCTCGACCCCGAACAGCCACCCTTTTACCGTAACCGTCTTGTCCGTAGGATTAAACGGGGGTGGGTTAACCGGCGGGCTTGATCTTGATCGTCGTTACTGCAACTGGCGCTGCTGCCGCTCGCTGCCTGTCTTCCTCTTCGAAGTCACGTGTGAGCGCATCCAGCGGATTGCTCATCGCTTGACTGTTGCCCTCGCCTTCGTCCACAGGCGACTCCTGATGCGCTTCACCTCGCGTCTGGCGTAGCTCGGCGTTTTCCTCTCGCAGTGTTGTCACTTCCGCCATTAATGTCTTCATGCTCTCCTGCATTTCTGCCCCTTGCGCCATCATCCTGTTAACCGCCTCCTGATCCATGTGCCTAGCGCTACGTCTGGTGGGCAGTCGGGTCTCCGTGGCCTTCAGGCAAGTGAAAACACGAACTATCGGAGTCGGGCAGGATTGAATTAACAATCCCTGCGGCCAACCGTCGTGTAGTCACTAAACCAGCCACACCCTATGCCACCAAACTACCCTCGGAAAAGCGGGGTGAACTAGGAAAGTAGCTCTGATACCAGGTGTTATGAGTTGTAAAAGAGAGTGCGCAGGTAAACGAATAACGAGACTGTGATTGAATGATCTGAGAATACAATGAAGGAACACATTAATGTAGGAGCTAGCCTAGCTAGGAGGAAACCTCGGACGAGCGAGGTTGGGGTGCAGGTTTGGCGATGGAAAATGCTGAAGGCGACGCGAGGAGCCTCGACAGCGTTGAAATCGGCCGAACGAGCGAAGTCCGAAAATCGGGCTGTACGCGTAGCAGTCAACCCGATAAGGAATTAAGGAAAATTCCTTACAATACGCGTAGCAGTCAACCCGATAAGGAATTAAGGAAATTTCCTTACAATTCACAACGAAGTTGATAACCATCCCGAGGTCGAACTGTTTTTTGAACCTAAAAAAACAATCACAGCGCGCACCAACCTGTTCCCGTCGTCCACCGCACTCCCTCCTCGCCAGCGTTCCTCATCGCGTCCAGAGCGGTTGCGCTGTGATGTGCGGCATTGGCGCGGTGAGGAGTAGTAATAGTTCCGGGTCATGGTGCGCTGGAGGCTTGGTTCAATTTGAGGTGGCGTGATGATCTAATAGTTTGACGCGACACGTGTTGAGAAGGCTCGAGATTTATTCCTCAGTCATACATCGCTCTTGGTCGCCTGTGCGAGCTGAGCATGATGCGGCCCCGCCACCTCGATTTCACCGCGGGAGCTGCTCCACCGCAACCCGCGCAACCCGCGCAACCCGCTCAACCCCCGCAACCTGCGCAACCCGCGCAACCCCCGCAACCCGCGCAACCCGCGCAATCCTGCAACCCGCGCAACTCGCGCAACCCCCGCAACCCCAGCAACCCGCGCAACCCTTGCAACCCGCGCAACCCTCCCAACCCTCACAACATTCGCAAGCGGCGCAGCAGGCGGCACTGCAGTCTCAACAGCCGCAGGAACAGTCGCCGCATTTGTCACTAGCACCATCCGCAGACTTGGCGAACCCTGAGGGCGCACGGAGAAGGCAGGGTGTGGCGGCGGAGACAGCAGGGCGCATAGCAGGCGGTGGTGATGTGCGGGAAGCAAGCGAAAAGCAACGACAGCAGCAGCAGCAGCAGCAGCAGCAGCAGCAGAAGCAGCAGCAGCAGCAGAAGCAGCAGCAGAAGCAGCAGCAAATGGGAGTAGCAGCGGGTGAGGGGTTGCTGCACAGCCGGAGCGTGCAGGAAATGCTGCAACCTCCGCTGCCCCAACCCGTGCCTGCGCCCGTGCCTGCAGGCGGCTCGGCACGTGAAGCGAGCATGGCATCCCTGCTCACCCCACCACCGGCGGGTGCAGCAGCAGCAGCATCACCCACGCACACAGCAGGAGCAGCCCCAGCGTCATCATCACCAGCATCGCTCCTAGCAGCAGCAGCAGCAGCAGCGCAGGCGGCAGTGTTGGGAGTGCCATCAGCGCAGTGCGCGCCCATGCCAGCGGGCATGGCCATGGGTGTGCCTGTGCCCGTCGCAGTGCCCCTCACCCTGCCAGCCCCCCTGCCGCTTGCTCCGCCCCTGCTGCCGTCCTCCTCGCCCTTCACCACGTGCGCTCCTGCCTCTCCTGTTGCCCCCCCCCGCCCCCTCGCCTCTCCTCTTGTTCGCTGCTGCCCTTCATCCTGCATGCGTTGGCTTCAGTCCTCTCCGTTGCTCTCATGTTCGCTGCTGCCCTTCATCCTGCATGCGTTGGCTTCAGTCCTCTCCGTTGCTCTCATGTTCGCTGCTGCCCTTCATCCTGCATGCGTTGGCTTCAGTCCTCTCCGTTGCTCTCATGTTCGCTGCTGCCCTTCATCCTGCATGCGTTGGCTTCAGTCCTCTCCGTTGCTCTCATGTTCGCTGCTGCCCTTCATCCTGCATGCGTTGGCTTCAGTCCTCTCCGTTGCTCTCATGTTCGCTGCTGCCCTTCATCCTGCATGCGTTGGCTTCAGTCCTCTCCGTTGCTCTCATGTTCGCTGCTGCCCTTCATCCTGCATGCGTTGGCTTCAGTCCTCTCCGTTGCTCTCATGTTCGCTGCTGCCCTTCATCCTGCATGCGTTGGCTTCAGTCCTCTCCTTTGCTCTCATGTTCGCTGCTGCCCTTCATCCTGCATGCGTTGGCTTCAGTCCTCTCCGTTGCTCTCATGTTCGCTGCTGCCCTTCATCCTGCATGCGTTGGCTTCAGTCCTCTCCGTTGCTCTCATGTTCGCCGCTGCCCTTCATCCTGCATGCGTTGGCTTCAGTCCTCTCCGTTGCTCTCATGTTCGCCGCTGCCCTTCATCCTGCATGCGTTGGCTTCAGTCCTCTCCGTTGCTCTCATGTTCGCCGCTGCCCTTCATCCTGCATGCGTTGGCTTCAGTCCTCTCCGTTGCTCTCATGTTCGCCGCTGCCCTTCATCCTGCATGCGTTGGCTTCAGTCCTCTCCGTTGCTCTCATGTTCGCCGCTGCCCTTCATCCTGCATGCGTTGGCTTCAGTCCTCTCCGTCGCTCTCATGTTCGATGCTGCCCTTCATCCTGCATGCGTTGGCTTCAGTCCTCTCCGTCGCTCTCATGTTCGCTGCTGCCCTTCATCCTGCATGCGTTGGCTTCAGTCCTCTCCGTCGCTCTCATGTTCGCTGCTGCCCTTCATCCTGCATGCGTTGGCTTCAGTCCTCTCCGTCGCTCTCATGTTCGCTGCTGCCCTTCATCCTGCATGCGTTGGCTTCAGTCCTCTCCGTCGCTCTCATGTTCGCTGCTGCCCTTCATCCTGCATGCGTTGGCTTCAGTCCTCTCCGTCGCTCTCATGTTCGCTGCTGCCCTTCATCCTGCATGCGTTGGCTTCAGTCCTCTCCGTCGCTCTCATGTTCGCTGCTGCCCTTCATCCTGCATGCGTTGGCTTCAGTCCTCTCCGTCGCTCTCATGTTCGCTGCTGCCCTTCATCCTGCATGCGTTGGCTTCAGTCCTCTCCGTCGCTCTCATGTTCGCTGCTGCCCTTCATCCTGCATGCGTTGGCTTCAGTCCTCTCCGTCGCTCTCATGTTCGCTGCTGCCCTTCATCCTGCATGCGTTGGCTTCAGTCCTCTCCGTCGCTCTCATGTTCGCTGCTGCCCTTCATCCTGCATGCGTTGGCTTCAGTCCTCTCCGTCGCTCTCATGTTCGCTGCTGCCCTTCATCCTGCATGCGTTGGCTTCAGTCCTCTCCGTCGCTCTCATGTTCGCTGCTGCCCTTCATCCTGCATGCGTTGGCTTCAGTCCTCTCCGTCGCTCTCATGTTCGCTGCTGCCCTTCATCCTGCATGCGTTGGCTTCAGTCCTCTCCGTCGCTCTCATGTTCGCTGCTGCCCTTCATCCTGCATGCGTTGGCTTCAGTCCTCTCCGTCGCTCTCATGTTCGCTGCTGCCCTTCATCCTGCATGCGTTGGCTTCAGTCCTCTCCGTCGCTCTCATGTTCGCTGCTGCCCTTCATCCTGCATGCGTTGGCTTCAGTCCTCTCCGTCGCTCTCATGTTCGCTGCTGCCCTTCATCCTGCATGCGTTGGCTTCAGTCCTCTCCGTCGCTCTCATGTTCGCTGCTGCCCTTCATCCTGCATGCGTTGGCTTCAGTCCTCTCCGTCGCTCTCATGTTCGCTGCTGCCCTTCATCCTGCATGCGTTGGCTTCAGTCCTCTCCGTCGCTCTCATGTTCGCTGCTGCCCTTCATCCTGCATGCGTTGGCTTCAGTCCTCTCCGTCGCTCTCATGTTCGCTGCTGCCCTTCATCCTGCATGCGTTGGCTTCAGTCCTCTCCGTCGCTCTCATGTTCGCTGCTGCCCTTCATCCTGCATGCGTTGGCTTCAGTCCTCTCCGTCGCTCTCATGTTCGCTGCTGCCCTTCATCCTGCATGCGTTGGCTTCAGTCCTCTCCGTCGCTCTCATGTTCGCTGCTGCCCTTCATCCTGCATGCGTTGGCTTCAGTCCTCTCCGTCGCTCTCATGTTCGCTGCTGCCCTTCATCCTGCATGCGTTGGCTTCAGTCCTCTCCGTCGCTCTCATGTTCGCTGCTGCCCTTCATCCTGCATGCGTTGGCTTCAGTCCTCTCCGTCGCTCTCATGTTCGCTGCTGCCCTTCATCCTGCATGCGTTGGCTTCAGTCCTCTCCGTCGCTCTCATGTTCGCTGCTGCCCTTCATCCTGCATGCGTTGGCTTCAGTCCTCTCCGTCGCTCTCATGTTCGCTGCTGCCCTTCATCCTGCATGCGTTGGCTTCAGTCCTCTCCGTCGCTCTCATGTTCGCTGCTGCCCTTCATCCTGCATGCGTTGGCTTCAGTCCTCTCCGTCGCTCTCATGTTCGCTGCTGCCCTTCATCCTGCATGCGTTGGCTTCAGTCCTCTCCGTCGCTCTCATGTTCGCTGCTGCCCTTCATCCTGCATGCGTTGGCTTCAGTCCTCTCCGTCGCTCTCATGTTCGCTGCTGCCCTTCATCCTGCATGCGTTGGCTGCAGTCCTCTCCGTCGCTCTCATGTTCGCTGCTGCCCTTCATCCTGCATGCGTTGGCTTCAGTCCTCTCCGTCGCTCTCATGTTCGCTGCTGCCCTTCATCCTGCATGCGTTGGCTTCAGTCCTCTCCGTCGCTCTCATGTTCGCTGCTGCCCTTCATCCTGCATGCGTTGGCTTCAGTCCTCTCCGTCGCTCTCATGTTCGCTGCTGCCCTTCATCCTGCATGCGTTGGCTGCAGTCCTCTCCGTCGCTCTCATGTTCGCTGCTGCCCTTCATCCTGCATGCGTTGGCTGCAGTCCTCTCCGTCGCTCTCATGTTCGCTGCTGCCCTTCATCCTGCATGCGTTGGCTTCAGTCCTCTCCGTCGCTCTCATGTTCGCTGCTGCCCTTCATCCTGCATGCGTTGGCTTCAGTCCTCTCCGTCGCTCTCATGTTCGCTGCTGCCCTTCATCCTGCATGCGTTGGCTTCAGTCCTCTCCGTCGCTCTCATGTTCGCTGCTGCCCTTCATCCTGCATGCGTTGGCTTCAGTCCTCTCCGTCGCTCTCATGTTCGCTGCTGCCCTTCATCCTGCATGCGTTGGCTTCAGTCCTCTCCGTCGCTCTCATGTTCGCTGCTGCCCTTCATCCTGCATGCGTTGGCTTCAGTCCTCTCCGTCGCTCTCATGTTCGCTGCTGCCCTTCATCCTGCATGCGTTGGCTTCAGTCCTCTCCGTCGCTCTCATGTTCGCTGCTGCCCTTCATCCTGCATGCGTTGGCTTCAGTCCTCTCCGTCGCTCTCATGTTCGCTGCTGCCCTTCATCCTGCATGCGTTGGCTTCAGTCCTCTCCGTCGCTCTCATGTTCGCTGCTGCCCTTCATCCTGCATGCGTTGGCTTCAGTCCTCTCCGTCGCTCTCATGTTCGCTGCTGCCCTTCATCCTGCATGCGTTGGCTTCAGTCCTCTCCGTCGCTCTCATGTTCGCTGCTGCCCTTCATCCTGCATGCGTTGGCTTCAGTCCTCTCCGTCGCTCTCATGTTCGCTGCTGCCCTTCATCCTGCATGCGTTGGCTTCAGTCCTCTCCGTCGCTCTCATGTTCGCTGCTGCCCTTCATCCTGCATGCGTTGGCTTCAGTCCTCTCCGTCGCTCTCATGTTCGCTGCTGCCCTTCATCCTGCATGCGTTGGCTTCAGTCCTCTCCGTCGCTCTCATGTTCGCTGCTGCCCTTCATCCTGCATGCGTTGGCTTCAGTCCTCTCCGTCGCTCTCATGTTCGCTGCTGCCCTTCATCCTGCATGCGTTGGCTTCAGTCCTCTCCGTCGCTCTCATGTTCGCTGCTGCCCTTCATCCTGCATGCGTTGGCTTCAGTCCTCTCCGTCGCTCTCATGTTCGCTGCTGCCCTTCATCCTGCATGCGTTGGCTTCAGTCCTCTCCGTCGCTCTCATGTTCGCTGCTGCCCTTCATCCTGCATGCGTTGGCTTCAGTCCTCTCCGTCGCTCTCATGTTCGCTGCTGCCCTTCATCCTGCATGCGTTGGCTTCAGTCCTCTCCGTCGCTCTCATGTTCGCTGCTGCCCTTCATCCTGCATGCGTTGGCTTCAGTCCTCTCCGTCGCTCTCATGTTCGCTGCTGCCCTTCATCCTGCATGCGTTGGCTTCAGTCCTCTCCGTCGCTCTCATGTTCGCTGCTGCCCTTCATCCTGCATGCGTTGGCTTCAGTCCTCTCCGTCGCTCTCATGTTCGCTGCTGCCCTTCATCCTGCATGCGTTGGCTTCAGTCCTCTCCGTCGCTCTCATGTTCGCTGCTGCCCTTCATCCTGCATGCGTTGGCTTCAGTCCTCTCCGTCGCTCTCATGTTCGCTGCTGCCCTTCATCCTGCATGCGTTGGCTTCAGTCCTCTCCGTCGCTCTCATGTTCGCTGCTGCCCTTCATCCTGCATGCGTTGGCTTCAGTCCTCTCCGTCGCTCTCATGTTCGCTGCTGCCCTTCATCCTGCATGCGTTGGCTTCAGTCCTCTCCGTCGCTCTCATGTTCGCTGCTGCCCTTCATCCTGCATGCGTTGGCTTCAGTCCTCTCCGTCGCTCTCATGTTCGCTGCTGCCCTTCATCCTGCATGCGTTGGCTTCAGTCCTCTCCGTCGCTCTCATGTTCGCTGCTGCCCTTCATCCTGCATGCGTTGGCTTCAGTCCTCTCCGTCGCTCTCATGTTCGCTGCTGCCCTTCATCCTGCATGCGTTGGCTTCAGTCCTCTCCGTCGCTCTCATGTTCGCTGCTGCCCTTCATCCTGCATGCGTTGGCTTCAGTCCTCTCCGTCGCTCTCATGTTCGCTGCTGCCCTTCATCCTGCATGCGTTGGCTTCAGTCCTCTCCGTCGCTCTCATGTTCGCTGCTGCCCTTCATCCTGCATGCGTTGGCTTCAGTCCTCTCCGTCGCTCTCATGTTCGCTGCTGCCCTTCATCCTGCATGCGTTGGCTTCAGTCCTCTCCGTCGCTCTCATGTTCGCTGCTGCCCTTCATCCTGCATGCGTTGGCTTCAGTCCTCTCCGTCGCTCTCATGTTCGCTGCTGCCCTTCATCCTGCATGCGTTGGCTTCAGTCCTCTCCGTCGCTCTCATGTTCGCTGCTGCCCTTCATCCTGCATGCGTTGGCTTCAGTCCTCTCCGTCGCTCTCATGTTCGCTGCTGCCCTTCATCCTGCATGCGTTGGCTTCAGTCCTCTCCGTCGCTCTCATGTTCGCTGCTGCCCTTCATCCTGCATGCGTTGGCTTCAGTCCTCTCCGTCGCTCTCATGTTCGCTGCTGCCCTTCATCCTGCATGCGTTGGCTTCAGTCCTCTCCGTCGCTCTCATGTTCGCTGCTGCCCTTCATCCTGCATGCGTTGGCTTCAGTCCTCTCCGTCGCTCTCATGTTCGCTGCTGCCCTTCATCCTGCATGCGTTGGCTTCAGTCCTCTCCGTCGCTCTCATGTTCGCTGCTGCCCTTCATCCTGCATGCGTTGGCTTCAGTCCTCTCCGTCGCTCTCATGTTCGCTGCTGCCCTTCATCCTGCATGCGTTGGCTTCAGTCCTCTCCGTCGCTCTCATGTTCGCTGCTGCCCTTCATCCTGCATGCGTTGGCTTCAGTCCTCTCCGTCGCTCTCATGTTCGCTGCTGCCCTTCATCCTGCATGCGTTGGCTTCAGTCCTCTCCGTCGCTCTCATGTTCGCTGCTGCCCTTCATCCTGCATGCGTTGGCTTCAGTCCTCTCCGTCGCTCTCATGTTCGCTGCTGCCCTTCATCCTGCATGCGTTGGCTTCAGTCCTCTCCGTCGCTCTCATGTTCGCTGCTGCCCTTCATCCTGCATGCGTTGGCTTCAGTCCTCTCCGTCGCTCTCATGTTCGCTGCTGCCCTTCATCCTGCATGCGTTGGCTTCAGTCCTCTCCGTCGCTCTCATGTTCGCTGCTGCCCTTCATCCTGCATGCGTTGGCTTCAGTCCTCTCCGTCGCTCTCATGTTCGCTGCTGCCCTTCATCCTGCATGCGTTGGCTTCAGTCCTCTCCGTCGCTCTCATGTTCGCTGCTGCCCTTCATCCTGCATGCGTTGGCTTCAGTCCTCTCCGTCGCTCTCATGTTCGCTGCTGCCCTTCATCCTGCATGCGTTGGCTTCAGTCCTCTCCGTCGCTCTCATGTTCGCTGCTGCCCTTCATCCTGCATGCGTTGGCTTCAGTCCTCTCCGTCGCTCTCATGTTCGCTGCTGCCCTTCATCCTGCATGCGTTGGCTTCAGTCCTCTCCGTCGCTCTCATGTTCGCTGCTGCCCTTCATCCTGCATGCGTTGGCTTCAGTCCTCTCCGTCGCTCTCATGTTCGCTGCTGCCCTTCATCCTGCATGCGTTGGCTTCAGTCCTCTCCGTCGCTCTCATGTTCGCTGCTGCCCTTCATCCTGCATGCGTTGGCTTCAGTCCTCTCCGTCGCTCTCATGTTCGCTGCTGCCCTTCATCCTGCATGCGTTGGCTTCAGTCCTCTCCGTCGCTCTCATGTTCGCTGCTGCCCTTCATCCTGCATGCGTTGGCTTCAGTCCTCTCCGTCGCTCTCATGTTCGCTGCTGCCCTTCATCCTGCATGCGTTGGCTTCAGTCCTCTCCGTCGCTCTCATGTTCGCTGCTGCCCTTCATCCTGCATGCGTTGGCTTCAGTCCTCTCCGTCGCTCTCATGTTCGCTGCTGCCCTTCATCCTGCATGCGTTGGCTTCAGTCCTCTCCGTCGCTCTCATGTTCGCCGCTGCCCTTCATCCTGCATGCGTTGGCTTCAGTCCTCTCCGTCGCTCTCATGTTCGCTGCTGCCCTTCATCCTGCATGCGTTGGCTTCAGTCCTCTCCGTCGCTCTCATGTTCGCTGCTGCCCTTCATCCTGCATGCGTTGGCTTCAGTCCTCTCCGTCGCTCTCATGTTCGCTGCTGCCCTTCATCCTGCATGCGTTGGCTTCAGTCCTCTCCGTCGCTCTCATGTTCGCTGCTGCCCTTCATCCTGCATGCGTTGGCTTCAGTCCTCTCCGTCGCTCTCATGTTCGCTGCTGCCCTTCATCCTGCAAGCGTTGGCTTCAGTCCTCTCCGTCGCTCTCATGTTCGCTGCTGCCCTTCATCCTGCAAGCGTTGGCTTCAGTCCTCTCCGTCGCTCTCATGTTCGCTGCTGCCCTTCATCCTGCATGCGTTGGCTTCAGTCCTCTCCGTCGCTCTCATGTTCGCTGCTGCCCTTCATCCTGCATGCGTTGGCTTCAGTCCTCTCCGTCGCTCTCATGTTCGCTGCTGCCCTTCATCCTGCATGCGTTGGCTTCAGTCCTCTCCGTCGCTCTCATGTTCGCTGCTGCCCTTCATCCTGCATGCGTTGGCTTCAGTCCTCTCCGTCGCTCTCATGTTCGCTGCTGCCCTTCATCCTGCATGCGTTGGCTTCAGTCCTCTCCGTCGCTCTCATGTTCGCTGCTGCCCTTCATCCTGCAAGCGTTGGCTTCAGTCCTCTCCGTCGCTCTCATGTTCGCTGCTGCCCTTCATCCTGCATGCGTTGGCTTCAGTCCTCTCCGTCGCTCTCATGTTCGCTGCTGCCCTTCATCCTGCATGCGTTGGCTTCAGTCCTCTCCGTCGCTCTCATGTTCGCTGCTGCCCTTCATCCTGCATGCGTTGGCTTCAGTCCTCTCCGTCGCTCTCATGTTCGCTGCTGCCCTTCATCCTGCATGCGTTGGCTTCAGTCCTCTCCGTCGCTCTCATGTTCGCTGCTGCCCTTCATCCTGCATGCGTTGGCTTCAGTCCTCTCCGTCGCTCTCATGTTCGCTGCTGCCCTTCATCCTGCATGCGTTGGCTTCAGTCCTCTCCGTCGCTCTCATGTTCGCTGCTGCCCTTCATCCTGCATGCGTTGGCTTCAGTCCTCTCCGTCGCTCTCATGTTCGCTGCTGCCCTTCATCCTGCATGCGTTGGATTCAGTCCTCTCCGTCGCTCTCATGTTCGCTGCTGCCCTTCATCCTGCATGCGTTGGCTTCAGTCCTCTCCGTCGCTCTCATGTTCGCTGCTGCCCTTCATCCTGCATGCGTTGGCTTCAGTCCTCTCCGTCGCTCTCATGTTCGCTGCTGCCCTTCATCCTGCATGCGTTGGCTTCAGTCCTCTCCGTCGCTCTCATGTTCGCTGCTGCCCTTCATCCTGCATGCGTTGGCTTCAGTCCTCTCCGTCGCTCTCATGTTCGCTGCTGCCCTTCATCCTGCATGCGTTGGCTTCAGTCCTCTCCGTCGCTCTCATGTTCGCTGCTGCCCTTCATCCTGCATGCGTTGGCTTCAGTCCTCTCCGTCGCTCTCATGTTCGCTGCTGCCCTTCATCCTGCATGCGTTGGCTTCAGTCCTCTCCGTCGCTCTCATGTTCGCTGCTGCCCTTCATCCTGCATGCGTTGGCTTCAGTCCTCTCCGTCGCTCTCATGTTCGCTGCTGCCCTTCATCCTGCATGCGTTGGCTTCAGTCCTCTCCGTCGCTCTCATGTTCGCTACTGCCCTTCATCCTGCATGCGTTGGCTTCAGTCCTCTCCGTCGCTCTCATGTTCGCTGCTGCCCTTCATCCTGCATGCGTTGGCTTCAGTCCTCTCCGTCGCTCTCATGTTCGCTGCTGCCCTTCATCCTGCATGCGTTGGCTTCAGTCCTCTCCGTCGCTCTCATGTTCGCTGCTGCCCTTCATCCTGCATGCGTTGGCTTCAGTCCTCTCCGTCGCTCTCATGTTCGCTGCTGCCCTTCATCCTGCATGCGTTGGCTTCAGTCCTCTCCGTCGCTCTCATGTTCGCTGCTGCCCTTCATCCTGCATGCGTTGGCTTCAGTCCTCTCCGTCGCTCTCATGTTCGCTGCTGCCCTTCATCCTGCAAGCGTTGGCTTCAGTCCTCTCCGTCGCTCTCATGTTCGCTGCTGCCCTTCATCCTGCAAGCGTTGGCTTCAGTCCTCTCCGTCGCTCTCATGTTCGCTGCTGCCCTTCATCCTGCATGCGTTGGCTTCAGTCCTCTCCGTCGCTCTCATGTTCGCTGCTGCCCTTCATCCTGCATGCGTTGGCTTCAGTCCTCTCCGTCGCTCTCATGTTCGCTGCTGCCCTTCATCCTGCATGCGTTGGCTTCAGTCCTCTCCGTCGCTCTCATGTTCGCTGCTGCCCTTCATCCTGCATGCGTTGGCTTCAGTCCTCTCCGTCGCTCTCATGTTCGCTGCTGCCCTTCATCCTGCATGCGTTGGCTTCAGTCCTCTCCGTCGCTCTCATGTTCGCTGCTGCCCTTCATCCTGCATGCGTTGGCTTCAGTCCTCTCCGTCGCTCTCATGTTCGCTGCTGCCCTTCATCCTGCATGCGTTGGCTTCAGTCCTCTCCGTCGCTCTCACGCCCTCCTCGCCCTCCCTGCGTGCCCCACCCCTCCCCTGCGCGTGTGTGTGTGCGCCACCCCACACAGGGGCAGCAGGTAGCCGCGGGCAGACAGGAAGGACGCGGCCACGGCAGCAGCCGTGCTGGCAGCGGCGGCGGCACGGGAGGCAGCGGGGGGACCCGGGGGAGGCACGCCTCGGCGCAAGCGCTCGTGCAACTGCCAAGGAGGTTGAAAGGCGGGAAGCAGATCTGAAGGATGCATTGGCGCTGTTGAAGCATCTTGTGGAAAAAATTGCCGATGATGAGCTTGGCAAAGTAAATTGGAGGGTGAGTTTTGAATTGTTTTATATTGACTATGCACAGTCGCTAATGTCTATGTTTTTGTGTTTCAAGCCCACATCAAGGACTCGTGCGACGACTTCCTTTTCAAGCCGGAGACGCTGAACCTGTCACTTGATCCTGGTCAGATGCTCGCAGCTCTAATTAGTAAGTGACGGTCAAATATTGTCGCGTTTGTGTTTTTTCTTAACTTACTAATCGTTATCCGAGTTTTGTGCAGAGAAAGCTGGTAACATCGCTGAATCCCCTCAAGGCTTGAAGTTGGCTGCCTTGCTGAAGGCCAATGGCATTTTGAAGCACGCGTGTGTGCGCTTCAACGACCGGATCGATAAAATCTACCGATTCAGTCGCCTCTATGCTATGAGCCTCGAACCCTGCGTCTTTTTGCAGAAAAGGCGGAACTTCAAGGGAGAACTAGTACTGCAGGTGCCCGAGGACTTACTCACAAAATGTGGAGACTACGTTGAGCGCTTCGCATCCAATAAGTTAATGAAAAATTCTACCATTTGCTAAAAGTGTGTCTGCCATTTTAGATGGGTGGAGAGCAGCGGGACAGGGCTTTGGCTTTCTTGTGCTGGCACGGCAGGGCCATGCCTGCAATGGGCTTCCTATTTATCCCCAACCTCCTCGTTTCTACTCCGTGGTGGCTGGCAGGTACTGCGAGTGCTTTGCGGCGGGGCTGTACTGCGAGGGGTGCAATTGCGTCAACTGCTGCAACTCGCCTGCCAACGAGGCGCAGCACCACGACGCCGTGCTCGCCGTGCTCGACCGCAACCCCAACGCCTTCCGCCCCAAAATCGCCCCCCACAGCCCCTCCCACGCCTCCGCTTCGGTGCGCCCTCTCACCCCCCCTCACAGCGCCCCCTTGCTCTCCCACTCTGCGCACCACCACACTCGCTGCACCACACTCGCTGCACCACACTCACCGCACCACACTCACTGCACCACACTCACTGCACCACACTCGCTGCACCACACTCGCTGCACCACACTTGCTGCACCACACTTGCTGCACCATACTCGCTGCACCACACTATGTTCCTTCTGTACCTGGCAGACTAACTAAGCGAACAAGGCCGGCGATAAGAGTTGAGCTCTCTCGTGGCTGTAGGCTCTTAGCAGCACATCCAACTCACTGCTCTTAGCAGCACATCCAACTCACTGCTCTTATCGCCGGCCTTGTTTGCTTAGCCCGTCACGTGTAGAGGGAACGTAGAAAGCAAGGCGTCCACGACTGAAGAACGTACTGTATAGAAACCATATTCCAAACCCGCCTCCCACAGCATGTGCACACCCCCTTCAACCCCAATCGTCTTTGCCCTGCCCCTACCCAGTCCCTCCTTTCCAATGCGTCCCACCCCCCACTCACACTCCCCCCCTGGCAGCAGGGCGAGGCGGCGCGCGTGCACACGCCGGTGGCGGGGCGGCACCGCGCGGGGTGCCACTGCCGCAAGAGCGGGTGTCTGAAGAAGTACTGCGAGTGCTTCCAGGCCAACGTGCTGTGCGGCGCCAACTGCAAGTGCGCCGACTGCAAGAACTACGATGGCAGCCTCGACCGCCAGGCCGTCGTTGCCGGCCTTGCTGCTGCTGCTGCTGCCGCTGCCGTCACGCCCATCAAGTTTGAGGTGCGGGAGGGACCGCACTGCAGGCACCACACCCTCGCATTGCCACCGCTTCTCCTTCCTCTCGCTTTCCACCTTTCCCAGCCCCCTTCCGCTCTCCTCTCTCGTACCCCTCACTTCCTTCCCCCGTGTTCCCCTCCATCTCCCCTCTCATCCCCCCCCAGATGTCAGCCTACCAGCGCATGGTCACCCCCACCAAGGCGTCCGCCTTCACGCCTCCTGCTGCACGCCCTGGCCTGCACTCCCACACATCCCCGCACGCCCACGCACATGCTCGCACACCCTCTCACTCGCTCGCTCACTCGCACTCCTACCCTCCCTTTCGCCCCCACCACTCGCCTGTGCCTGCCCATGCTGCTTCTGCTGCTGCTGGGGGTGCCATGGGCGGTGGGATGGGCGGGGCATAGGATGGGAGGGGTGGGGGGCACGCGGGTGGGCATGTGGTGGCGGGAGGGAGTCCCGAGGGCAGCACCATGCACATGCACCCTCCTGCCGCCTTGAGGTACGCGCTGGCTGAGCTGGGAGGGAGTGAGGTGTGGGCAGCAAACGGTGTGTTTCCCTTGAGTGAGTATCACGGGAATGCATGTTTGGAAGCATGTGGGATGATGTGGCTGTTGCACAGCTCAGCTCGATTCGATGGTGGGTCATATATACAGAGGAGGGCGGAGGGAGAGCAGAGCAACCACACCCACATGAGCTCATTGGTTTCACCAAGTGCAGCGCGCCCATTGCACACACGCAATACGGCCAACCGTTCAGAATTGGCTTTTCGTCCATCTCCCGCGGTTTTATCGTTTTCTCCTCAAGCTTCCCTCAGTTCCCCGCCCCTTTCATCTCCTTTCCATCCCCTCGTCCCTTTGTCCATGCCACCTCTCACTCACCCTGTCTCCTCTCACTCACCCTGTCTCCTCTCACTCACCCTGTCTCCTCTCACTCACCCTGTCTCCTCTCACTCACCCTGTCTCCTCGAACCCCTGCTGGCCCAACCCCCCCCTCCCCACATGCCCCCCAGGTCGCCCCCCCCGCACCCCCCCATGGTGGGCCTCTCCCCCTCCCGCGCGCCCTCCACGCCCGCCCTGCCCTCCCCCTCGGCGCGCTCGCCCCTCTCCTTGTGGGCGGCGCGGCGAACGTGCATGCTCATGGCGGCGCTGGCGTGGGGCGTGCAGCACGAGTACACCGCGAGCAGTGAGTGGCATATCACAAGTCACTCGTATGCCTCTCTTGCCACCCATTCGCACGCTCGTCGCTCGCTTGGAATGCGAAATGCTTATTCTGCCTTCCAATCGGCCTTGTTATGGTCTGCGCTCTCCGTCTGCACTCTCCGTCTGCACTCTCCGTCTGCGCTCTCCGTCTGCGCTCTCCGTCTGCGCTCTCCGTCTGCGCTCTCCGTCTGCGCTCTCCGTCTGCGCTCTCCGTCTGCGCTCTCCGTCTGCGCTCTCCGTCTGCGCTCTCCGTCTGTGCTCTCCGTCTGCGCTCTCCGTCTGCGCTCTTCGTCTGCGCTCTCCGTCTGCGCTCTCCGTCTGCGCTCTCCGTCTGCGCTCTCCGTCTGCGCTCTCCGTCTGCGCTCTCCGTCTGCACTCTCCGTCTGCGCTCTCCGTCTGCGCTCTCCGTCTGCGCTCTCCGTCTGCGCTCTCCCTTCGCCCTCTCTCTCAACCGGTCCGTATTATGAGTTGCGTGTGAGTGCATTGAAGACCAGAGCTGGTGAGTGCTGTCGAAGCCACGCAACCAAGCGCTGCACTCACAACCCAGCGCTGCACTCACAACCCAGCGCTGCACTCACAACCCAGCGCTGCACTCACAACCCAGCGCTGCACTCACAACCCAGCGCTGCACTCACAACCCAGCGCTGCACTCACAACCCAGCGCTGCACTCACAACCCAGCGCTGCACTCACAACCCAGCGCTGCACTCACAACCCAGCGCTGCACTCACAACCCAGCGCTGCACTCACAACCCAGCGCTGCACTCACAACCCAGCGCTGCACTCACAACCCAGCGCTGCACTCACAACCCAGCGCTGCACTCACAACCCAGCGCTGCACTCACAACGCACGCAGGCAGCTGCAGGAGCGCCATCACATCACGGGCTCCCTCTACGTTGGCATATACGCGTATAGCGTATATATGCGTGTCGTATATCTGCTTGCGTTTATACTCTATACGCTAAGGTCCCGAAACCGGTGATACTCTATTTCGGGCAGGTTAAAAAAAGTACGGGCAGGTAGAAGAATTCCCCCCTGATGTACTTCAGGGGTCAGTTTCCACAGGGGTTGTTTTTCTGGTTTTTTTTCCCGACTCATATTTTTGTACCAACAAGAGTACAATGACAACTACTCATCTCATTCATACTACTACTCATGCGACTCCTCACCCAAGCATCAGTTACGCCACCTACTCATACTCATCCTCTAGAATGCCATCTTCCGCTTCCTCCTCCTCCTCCTCCTTCCCCTCCACCATATTATAGCCCTCGGGCACGGGAGGCTCCGGCATGTTCCCGAGCACCACACCCGGCATCGCATCCTCGCGGGAATGCCAGTGGCGCACAACGTGCCAGTGGCGCACAACGTTCCAGTTGTGCGCAACGAAAACCTGATCCCGGCAGAGCCAAGTCGGTTGCACACTGAATCCCACGTTGCCCATCCCCGCTGACATGATGAAGCCGACACGGGCTGAGAGAGAGTCCTAATGGTGAGGGCTGCCAGCTGTGGTGCGTCAGTGCCGTGCCACTGCCACCGCTTGACCATGTCATACGTGCCCTCCTTGACCATTTTCCTCTGTGCAATTGCATCCCCCATCCCAAAACTTCCCGTCATATCCAGAAATGCCCTCACGCCGCCCTGCAGTGCAATCAAGACGTCCTCGCTCTCATTCCCATCATTCCCCTCTTAGCAATGTACTGTGTCCACGACCTTCTTAGCAATGTACTGTGTCCACGACCTTCTTAGCCCAACCCATCTTGCCGACGTCCTCCATGAGGAGGTCCATAACGTGGGTGGCGCACGGCACGTGTTGAATGTGCGCCCACTCCACCGTCAACTCCTCCTGGCAGCCCACTGAGTACTTGGACCCACCGCGCGTGCACAACGCCACTATGTGCTGTGCTGTGGACCGACCTTCTCCACCACGGGCCTGAGGATGCTCGCGACGTAGCCGCCGGCTTTGGTCTCCATGCGGCAGTCATCGCTGTCGTTGAACACCGCGTCGCTGTCATTGATGAGTTCTTATCGGTCATCGTGTCTGAAGATGCTGTCACGCCGGTCCGCTCCCAGCTCGCCTTCACTCCAGCACGGCCGTGTTGCTTCTCCACCACCCGTGAGCCCACGGGTGGTATCCGTGCTGCGAGCTCATTGTAGCCTGCTGGCCGTCCTCATCGTGCTCACGTGCTCAATCTGTGCTCTTGCCTTTCTCATACTCCCTGCCTTCCCCTCACGTGTGGCGCAGGCAGCGCACACGCCGCTGCACAAGCCGACTCGGCCGAAGGCCGAATGAGTTTGTGAAGAGAGCACAGAGTCCTGAAGTGCGATGGCGGATGGCAGAGGGCATAGGGCTCTTTAGTCTAACGCTGTCTCTCCCCCTTGCCCTCTCACTGCGTGTGCCTGCCTGTGTGCGTGTGCGCGTGCACCTCTCCAGCAGTGTCCACCCGGCCGGAGCCAGAGGCAGTGCGGGCAGCAGAGGCAGCAGAGGCAGTGCGGGCAGCAGAGGCAGCAGAGGCAGCAGAGGCAGCTGAGGCAGCTGAGGCAGCAGAGGCAGCAGAGGCAGCTGAGGCACGCGCTGCAGCAGTGGAGCCTTCTCCGCACGCGCCCGCACAGCAGAGCCCCCCCCACAGCCCCACCGCCACAGTCAAGCTCGGCTTCCAGGGCCCCCAGGTGTCTGGTCCTCCTCAGGTGTCTGCTGCTCCTCAGGTGTCTGCTGCTCCTCAGGTGTCTGCTGCTCCTCAGGTGTCTGCTGCTCCTCAGGTGTCTGCTGCTCCTCAGGTGTCTGCTGCTCCTCAGGTGTCTGCTGCTCCTCAGGTGTCTGCTGCTCCTCAGGTGTCTGCTGCTCCTTGGGCAGAGTGTGAGCGAGCAGGCAGTGCAGGCGAGGTGGGGGATTGCTGCAAGGGGGCGAGTGAGAGGGCAGAGGGGCAGGGCGGGCGAGGGGAGGGGAGCAGGGCGGTGGAAGCGGAGAGCAGGGCGGTGGAAGCGGAGAGCATGGGTGGGCTGGCGGGGCACGGTGGGGGGGAGGGGAGTGAGGCGGACGGTGATCGCCAAGGGCAGGGGCAGGCGAGAGAGGGAGGCGCGGGTGGAGGCGCGAGGGCGGATGAGGCGGTGACAGGCGTGCTTGGTGACAGTAGCCCTGGTAACGCGGAGGATGAGAAGGAGATAGACAGGGTAAGAAACGAGGAGAGGGATGGGGGTGTGGAAAGGGAAAGGGAGGAAAGGGAAGGGGAGGAAACGGAAGGGGAGGAGAGAGATAGCGAGGATAAAGATGAGAAAGAGAAGTATGGGGCGGAGAGGGGTGGGGAGGAGAGGGATGTGGGGGAGAGTGATGGGGAGAAGAGAGGATGGGAGGAGATTGAAGGAGAAATGAGAGAAGAGGAGGAGAGCAGAGAAGAGAGAGAAGGGGAGGAGAGGGGAGGGGATGGGACAGATGGGGAAAATAACGACGAGAGAGAAGCTGATGAGAGTGAAGGGCCAGGGATGGAACGAAGGGAAAGAATGAGGAGCGAGGAGAAGGCGAGAGATGATGACGAGAGGGGAGGAACGGAGAATGAGGAGATGAGGAGTGACGGGAAGGTCCCGAAGGAGAGTGTAGAGAAGAGGGGGAAAGGGAAGGTGAATGATGAAAAGAGGAGGGACGGGAGCGAGAGAGAATCGAACAGGAGGGAAGGGAAGGACAGGGATGGAGAGGAGAGAGGTCGAGAGAGGCCAGATGGGAAGGAGAGCGATTGGAAGGAGAGAGATGGCAAGAGGGAACGGAAGGGGAGAGAAAGAAGTCGAGATGTGAAAGAGAGGGAACGGAAGAGGAGAGATGGGAAGCACAGAGAAGGGCGGGCGAGAGAATTGAAGAAGAGGGAAGGTAGGGAGGGAGAAGCAAGGAAGAGGGAAGGGAAGGAGAGATACAGAGAGAGCTACGTAGAAAAGTGGAGATACAAGGAGAGAGATAGTAAGAGGAGAGAAGGAAAGGATAGAGATGGTAAGGATAGAGAAGGTTGTTAGAGATTAAGGACGGAGTCTATGAAGATTAGGGGCTGAAATATCTCAAAATCGTCAACTACAATTCTGGACAGAAAAGTCGTCGTCACAAGAAACGTCGTCGACGAAAGGTCCACTGTTAGAATTCTTTCAAACTCGAGTATGTTGTAGCCCTTGACCGTGGCTATCTTTCCCAATTTGAATAGTATCAGAATATGGAGTATAACTCGAGTTATGAACTTCGGCGCACTAGGGGGTATGCTGCCATAGAAAACGTAACTCAATCACAATGATCTCACAAGTTCACACAAGAAAGTTAGAGTAGCAATAGAACCAGGTAGGAGGGGATGAGGAGGACGAGAGGGAAGGTCCCAAGAGAGTCCCCAACCAAGGAAACCCCATGCCATACAATTCCCTTCCCCATAGGCAACCCAACTTTGACCTTTGTCACTATCCCAACCTCCACAATCCACCTCAACCCAACTTGGCCACACTTGCCAACCTGGTTTGGTTTCTCCCAACCATTTGGCAGCAACTACAGTAGAAAAGACGAATTTCCCAACCCCCAAAAGTCTGTACCCCATATTGAGTCAACCCCACAACTTCCCATAGTCACCACAACCAAATATCAAAAGCATACGAACTCCAACGTTCGTAACTTTCTTGTTCGTGCTCCGATTGAAGCGATACTTGGTTCCTCGGAAAGCTCTTGAGCAGAGGAGTCACTTCAGATATCTGCTCAAGCCAAATAACATTCACACACACACTCAGAAAAACCAAACCGCACAAAACACAAATTCTTGCACACACTCACAACACGCATGCAACGCACGAACATATGATGGGAGGCAGACAGACGTGAATGCGAATGGTAGCATCACTCAACAAACTCCCCCTCTGGCTGCCAACCATCATCCCACATGCCATAGCTCAAGCATGCATCCTCAATGCACACTCATCCCAGCAAGCTTCATGCCCTTCCAATGCTCAGATTCTGCCAGGCGCTTGGTGAGAATGTCAGCCGCCTGCTGATGGGTCTTCACAATCTCCAGCCGCACCTCCTTGTCCAGGAGCCTCCTCACCCAATGCCACTTAGGCCTGATGTGCTTCGTCAGCCCATGAAGGCAAGCATTCTTAGCAAGCTTCACAGCCGACTCGTTGTCACAGAAAATCACAGTTGGATCCTTTTGGCACACTCCGATCTCCTCCAACAAACGCCTCAGCCACACCACCTCCTTTGCCCCATGATGCAGAGCCATGTACTCTGTCTCACACGAGGACTGCCCCACCTCGTTCTGCTTCTTGCTGCGCCAGCTCACTGCACCACCTCCAAACAGGCACACATAGCCTCCAATGCTGGTGCCATCCTCCTCCACAGAGTTGAAGCTAGCGTCGGTGTAGCAGGTCAGGAGCATCTCCCCCTTGCCCAAATCAGCTGCACCCCTCTGCAGCCTCTGTCGCACAGCACTGTACTCCAAGCCCACTAATGCCGTAGCGCTCACATAGCGGACCAACCTCTTGGCCGCTTCCAGCTGCTCATGACTGGGGCGTGAAACCACACTTGCAAGCCTGGATGTAGCAAAGGCAATGTCAGGCCGCGTGTGGTTAGCCGCATAATTGAGTGCCCCCACCATGGAATGAAACAGCTTCCTGTCACTCTCACCCACCACCTCCTCTTCAGCACAGGGCTCCACAGTGAACCCCGAAGGCAGTGGGGTGGCTGGCTTTCCTCCATCTTGCAGCCCATACTTCTCAGCCAGCCCCTCACAATACTTTCTCTGGTGCAACCTCAACACTCCCTTGTCAAGGTCCCTCTCCACATGCATGCCCAAATAGTACTTCACATCTCCCATCTTGGAGCACTTAAACTGCATCTCCAGCATCTCCTCCACATGCTCAATCATTGCAGACGACTCAGAGAAGAGCAGGATGTCATCCACATACACCAGGAGCATGAGAAACTGCTCCTTCTCCTGCAGCAGGAACAAGCTGTGATCACACTCACTCTTCTTGAAACCCCCAGCCAGCAGAGTCTCCTCTAACTTGTGGTACCATGCACGAGGAGCCTGCTTCAGGCCATAGATGGCCTTCTTCAGCCTGCACACCCTGCCGCTCCCATCATCCAAACCCTCAGGCTGTAACATGTACAGCTCCTCCAGAATGATCCCATTGAGGAAGGCGGTGGTGATGTCCATCTGCTTCACCCGCCATCCACGGTATGCTGCCATTGCCAATGACACCCGAAGTGTTGTGCCTTTCCCCACAGGAGCATAGAGCTCGTTGAAGTCCTTTCCCTTTGTCTGCTGAAACCCCTTAGCCACAAGCCTTGACTTGTAGCGGGTCAGCGCCCCATCAGGTCCGTACTTGTGCCTGAAAATCAGCTTGGAAGAAATGGCCTTCTTCCCAGGTGGCAGCTCACACAGCTCCCACGTCTCATTCTCTAGCAGAGAATCATACTCCTCCTTCACACTCTGCTTCCACTTTTCAGCATCGGGCCCGCTCAATGCCTCAGCTAGCGTCTTGGGCTCAGGGACGGCTGCCCAGTAGCAGTGTGCTATCTCATCCTCATCACACTGCTCAGCCACACTCCCAGCCCTTACCACCTTTGGCTTGCCACGGCTTGCATAGGTCAGCCTGTTAGGAGGGCGCACATCCCTCCTAGGACGGTCAGCCGTACGTCCGGCACCTTGTGGAGCACCTTGCTCCTCCTGCTGCTGCGGCTGCTGCTGCTGTTGCTGCTGCTGCTGCTCCTCCACCTCAGGTTCTCCCCCATCCTCTGTCACCCCAGAGATCTCATTCTCAGAGACAGAAACCTCCACTTGCCTTGAAGGCCGCTGCACCTCATCGGCCTCGACAATTAGCGGTGTCGTTGGAAGCTTCTGCTGCTGCTGCTGCTTCCACTCCTTGTAGTACAAGGACTCAAGGAACTTCACATCCCTTGACACGGTCAGCTGCTGGCTGGTCAAGTCCCAAATCAGCCAGCCCTTGTGATCCTTAGCAAGCCCCAAGTGCACACCCCATCTCCCAGAAGCTTCCAGTTTTCCCCTCTTCTCCTTAGGCACATGAAACACCACCATGCACCCAAAGGCTCTCAGCATGTTCACAGCTGGTGCAATCCCATACCACTTGGTGTAGGGGACCCACTGCTTGTCCCCCACAGTTGCCAGCACCCTGTTCTTCACAACAACGACCTGCCGCAGTGCTGTCACCCAAAACGGATCCGGCAGCCCTGCACGCCCAAGGAGAGTGCGAGCACCTTCCTGCAGGGTCCGGTTGAACCGCTCAGCCACGCCATTCTGCTGAGGGTTGTAAGGCACTGTGAGCTGATGCTGGATCCCCTTCCGCTTCAGCTCCTTCTCAAAATCAGCGCCGATGAACTCTCCTCCGTTGTCAGTGCGGATCACCTTCACCTTGTGTCCGCTTTCCCTTTGTGCTCTCGGCATCCACTCCTTAAGAACAGCCGCTGCCACCTCCCCCTTAGTCTTGAGAGGGTACACCCACACCGCACGCGTGTGGTCGTCCACAATCGTCAAGAGGTAGCGGCTGCCCGAGAGAGAAAGGGCCCTCGTGGGGCCCACCACATCCATGTGCACTAGTGCAAGTGGTGCCTTGGCTGGTCCTGTGCTGCTGCTGAAGGGAAACTTCGTGAATTTGGTCTCAAGGCAGGTAGGGCAGCTCCCAATCTCCTTTGCTCCCCCCTTCACCTCCAGCCCCTTCAAGCACCCATCCTTTACCAACTTCTGCAGCATAGGAATGTTCACATGACACAGCCTCTCATGCCACGTCTCCCAATCAGCCTCACCACTCCCAGATGAAGCCTTTGCCCATGCAGCTGTCGCATCCACACCAGCAAGCACCTCACCATGTGGCTGCTGTGGCTGCTGCACCTTCTTGACTGCATCCAGGGCCCCAGCAGTTGGTGCAGTCTCCTCTCCTCCCGCAGTTGCTTTAGCCGCTGCCGCTGCCTTTGCTGTTGCTGGTGGTTTCCCCTTCCAAGGGATGATGGGCAGCTGCCACAGGTCCTTGATGCAGCTGCTCTTCTCCTCCAAGTTCCACAGCAGCAACTTCCCAAGCTTTGCACGGCAGCTGGTTGGGCCGAAGGTAACTTCAGCCTTGCTCTTCTGCAGCCGGCGCACAGAAAGAAGGTTAGCGGACAAACCTTCAACCAACAGCACATTCCCAAGCCCCACAAGCTCTCCATTGGCTCCCATCACCTTAGCATTCCCAACACCAATCACAGGGAGCAAAGCACCTGAAGCGGCAGCCACAAACTTGATCTTCCCAGGAGGTTTTACCTCATCAAGCAAATCTGCCCGTGGGGTCATATGACTCGTGCAACCTGAATCGATCACCCAGTGAGTGAGGGGGTGCATCACAACCTTCCCAACTGAACCCACATCACCCCCACTCCCTTGCACATCCTCAACCATGAGGAACATCCCAGGGTCGGCTTTACCTTGTGCACCATCACCTTGTGCACCTGATCCTTGCACAGCGCCACCGCGTGCACGTTCACCACTTGGCGGCTTCATGCCTGGAGGGGCCCATCCCTCAGGCCGGCTGAAACACTTGAACCACGGGTGTCCAGCCTTCTTGCAGTACCAGCACGCACCCTCCATTCGGGTGCTCCCCCTGCCACCAGAGCTCCCATGCCCCTCATTGTAGTCACCTCGGCCTCTCCCTCTGCCAAAGCCTCTCCCACGGCCTCGGCATCTCCCTCCCCCTCTTCCTCTGCTGCCTCCTGCAGCTCCATACCCCTCAGCAGTTTTGTTGGCAGCACCACCTCCCGTGTGGCGCCTGCGGAAGTCCTCTTGCAGAATCTGCTGCCGTAGCCACTCAGGCGTCCATTTGTCCTGCTGAACGTTGAGGGTGGGGATGAGGTTGTCCCACGAGTTGTCGAGCACCGAGATGATTTTGGTGCACTGTTGCATCTGCGACACTTCGCTGCCCGCCACTGCCATCCTCGCATAGGTGTCCTTGATCTTGTCAAGGACCGGTTTCACATCATCTCCCGGTTTCATGGAGAGGGCAGCCAACTCCTTCTCCAACACAATCACCATCGGCAGCGTGTTGGGCTGAATCACGTCGCGTAGCAGCTTCCATGCCTTCGGTCCGGAATCATCCAACTCCACCAAATCCTTGATGTGCTGGAACATGTCGTTATTGACCGATTGGAGGATGAGGTCGTACAGCACCGCGCTCTTCTCAATCCACCAATCGCGGGCATCTCCTTCCCCCGGCATCTTCTCCTCTCCCATTGCAATTTTCAGCAGCTTGTAGCGCTTGAAGGCGCTCCGCATCCGCCCGCTCCATTCCTCATAGTTGGAGCCATCCAAAGCTTCAATCTTGGATGGTGGCGGCTCACTCCTCTTCTCAGCTGCATCTCCACTCCCTTGATTCATCTCCTCTGCTCCCAATCAGAGGTTTCAGCTCCCCCTTTTGCTGGTCACAATGTAGATCCACACAATCTTCACAAGTGTCAGCGCCAACGAAATTTCGGCAGAGTTTCCCCTTAGCGGAAGTCACATCCAACCTCCAGAACTCCACTTAGGCACGCCCACAGGCCATGGTGGGTCTAGGAGGGTCTTCACACTTCAGTAGACTCCCCACAAGGTCCTTAATCAGCTCTGATACCACTTGTTAGAGATTAAGGACGGAGTCTATGAAGATTAGGGGCTGAAATATCTCAAAATCGTCAACTACAATTCTGGACAGAAAAGTCGTCGTCACAAGAAACGTCGTCGACGAAAGGTCCACTGTTAGAATTCTTTCAAACTCGAGTATGTTGTAGCCCTTGACCGTGGCTATCTTTCCCAAATTGAATAGTATCAGAATATGGAGTATAACTCGAGTTATGAACTTCGGCGCACTAGGGGGTATGCTGCCATAGAAAACGTAACTCAATCACAATGATCTCACAAGTTCACACAAGAAAGTTAGAGTAGCAATAGAACCAGGTAGGAGGGGATGAGGAGGACGAGAGGGAAGGTCCCAAGAGAGTCCCCAACCAAGGAAACCCCATGCCATACAATTCCCTTCCCCATAGGCAACCCAACTTTGACCTTTGTCACTATCCCAACCTCCACAATCCACCTCAACCCAACTTGGCCACACTTGCCAACCTGGTTTGGTTTCTCCCAACCATTTGGCAGCAACTACAGTAGAAAAGACGAATTTCCCAACCCCCAAAAGTCTGTACCCCATATTGAGTCAACCCCACAACTTCCCATAGTCACCACAACCAAATATCAAAAGCATACGAACTCCAACGTTCGTAACTTTCTTGTTCGTGCTCCGATTGAAGCGATACTTGGTTCCTCGGAAAGCTCTTGAGCAGAGGAGTCACTTCAGATATCTGCTCAAGCCAAATAACATTCACACACACACTCAGAAAAACCAAACCGCACAAAACACAAATTCTTGCACACACTCACAACACGCATGCAACGCACGAACATATGATGGGAGGCAGACAGACGTGAATGCGAATGGTAGCATCACTCAACAAAGGTAAGGATAGAGAAGGAAAGGATAGAGAAGGAAAGCAGCGAGACTCGAAGGAACGAGGAGGGAAGGACGAAGAGGGGGAGAGAAGAGAAGGGAATGAGAGAGAAGGGAAGGAAAGAGATGGAAAGAGAAGAAAATGGACGGAGAGAGAAGGGAAGGATGGCGGAGGTAACGAGAAGGGAGTAGAGAATGAAAGAAAGGAGAGAGAAGAGATCGAAAGGAAGGAGAAGGAAAGAGGAGAAGATAGCAAGTTTGGTGAGGCCCAAGAAGGAAACGTGGTGGTGGGCGAGGGAAGCGGGAAGTCAAGTGCGGTGGTGTGGGGGAAAGATGAGGTGGTGAGCACTGTGTGCGTGGGGAGTGCGGGTGTGGGGTGCAGGGAACAAGTGGGGTGTGGTGAGAGCAAGGCGGAGCAGCGCGGCACAGAAGAGAGGGGGGGGCGAGCTGAGTCTCCATCACAGAGGCAGGGGGGTTCTGTGGGGGAGGTGGGAGGGGTGGGTGAGGGCGCAAGTGGTGAGGGGGGTGGTGCTGGTGCTTTCCGTGTGAAGGAGGAGTGGGCATGTGCACCGGACAAGAGTGACTGTGAGGGCGAGATTGGCGGCAGGAGGAAAAAGGGCGAGGTTGAGAAGAAGGGAGAGAGTGAGATGAAGGGTGAGAGTGAGAAGGGTCAGAGTAAGAAGAATGGTGACTATGAAAAAAAGGGTGAGAATGAGAAGGGAGAGAGTGAGAAGGGAGAGAGTGAGAAGGGAGAGAGTGAGAAGAAGGGCGAATGTGAAAAGAAGGGAGAGAGTGAGAAGAAAGGTGAGATTGAGCCTTGTTTGGAAGAGGGTGGGGTGATAGTGGAGGTGGGCAAGGAGGTGGGCGAGGAGGTGGGCGAGGAGGTGGGCGAGGAGGTGGGCGTGGAGGTGGGCGAGGAGGTGAGCGAGGAGGTGGGCGAGGAGGTGGGCGTGGGTGCAGCGGAGAAGGCGTGTGAGTTGACTCGCGTGCTGCTGGGTCCCACGGTGTCGCGTCTTGCTGCTGCATCCGTTGGTGGTGGCATTGAAGGTTCGAAGGCGGTGGCCGATGTGATGCTGGCAGGTGGCGGGGCCACGGCAGCGCAGGAAGAGAGAGGGCAGGCAGTGCATGCAGAGGAGAAGCAGGTGGAGGGCGGTGAGGAGGTGAGCATGCAGGTGAGCATGCAGGAGGAGGGTAGCGGTGAGGGGAGACCAGTGCAGGAGGAGGAGGAGAGGGGAGAGCGGAGGGTAACGGCTGGGAGCTTGGCGGAGGGCGAGGTGGCGGAGGGAGAACGGGATGAGGAAGTGGTGGAAAGTGGGAAGGTAGGAAGCGGGGGACAGGAGCAGCAGGAGGAGGGGGGGGAGGGGCGGCAGCAACGGTCGGTGTCGCCGGGCACGCGGGCGCTGATGTGCGACGAGGAGGACGACCCCGGGGACACGCTCTTCGCCGCCACCTCCTCCCCGCTCGCCCGCTCCAGCGCACTCGCCAGCAGCGATGCCGATGCTGACCTGGACGATGACGTGGCGAGGGGTGATGTGGCGGATGAGGGGGACGAGCAGGGCGGAGGGGAATGGGGTGCGTGGTGGGATGGCAGGCGGGTGAGTCGGAAGCGCAGTGCAGAGCTGATGGAGGGGCAGCGCGGCATGGGGCCGGGCATGGGGGCGGGCAGCAGCAGCCCCTCCGCCGCTCTGCCGCGCACCACCAGCGCTGGCCTTGCCGCCCACCTGCCGCCCTCTGGTTTCTCGCCCTCACCTGGCAAGGCCAGGAGGAGAAGCCTGGGGGGGCATGGTGCGGGGGGTGGCGGCGGCGTGAGGGGGGGAGAGGAGCAGGTGGATGGGAGGAGGAGCGTGAGTGCCGGTCATGCTGCCCTTGCTGCTGCTGCCGCCGCTGCTGGCAATCATCCCTTTGCTGCCGGATGCGTCTCAGGAGCTGCTGCAGGCGCGGCAGCAGCAGAGGTGGGTGTGATGGATGATCCAAGAGTTGCCATCCGCCTCGCTGCCGTGCGGTCGGCACTGGCCACGACAAGGGGTCAGGGGAGAGGGACGTCGGCAACAGGAGGGGCGAGTGGAGGGGAGGGAGGAGAGCGAATGCAGGCAGTGCAGCAGAGGGCGGTGGTGGAGAGGGTGGTGGTGGAGAGGGGGCTTCTGGAATTGCTAGAAGACCACCTTCTGCAGATCGCCGCCCACATTGGCGCCCCCGCTTGCTAGGGGCATGAGGGGGAGCAACAGGGATGTGAAGGGCACGTTGCAGACAGCATGTGCGCATGTGGAAGGGCAGTGGAGTGCATGCAGGGCTGACATAGCGGTGCAGGTGCCAGTTGCAGGGCCAAACCGGGTTCCACGCCACGCTTCTGAACCACGGTGCTCGCCCAGAACTACCTGACTCAAAGTGTTGCAGATTCTAGTACCGTCATCACCCGGATATAAGACAGTGTTGAATAGAATACAGGGGGTGTCTTTAAAACAGGTGTCTCTTATAAATGGGTGTTCATGATTATAAGACACCTGTAGGTGTGTTCGAGGGAGGGGGTGTCTTCTCAACAATACCGTAATAGGGTTTCAGGGTAACCTCATCAGGAGGGGGTATCTTCTAAACGGTTCTTTGTCCATTTATAAGATTTACTGGTGTATGACACTCTAAATCGTCCCAAATACGAAACCCAAGCATAATTTCTGGTGTATAAGATAAGACATATATGTCTTATATCCGGTCCGGGCGATGACGGTACCGTAATCACCCTGTTGAGCGATGATGGTACCGTGTTCACTCCGACGACCGGATCCGGTCCGGGCGATGACGGTACCGTAATCACCCTGTGACGTCTTTCAGCTTCATCCCACGTTTAGTGTCTCCCTGAACTTTCCGTTGTTGCTATCACACCTTGTGCTGCACCACTCCTTTTCTTTACCCTAGCTTAATAGGGCGGCAGCTCCCCCTGTTCCTCTTGCGTTGCTGCTTCTGAAAGTTCTGCACTACCTCCCATTATTGCACGCACCCACTGCACCAGCTTCTTAAATACAGTGATTCATGCCGATGCATCCTGGTTCCCCACAGCTTCACTCGTGTCAATCGCCTTTCCTGTGTCAACCTTGTCAGTAATGCGAATATTTCCACGAACAGTTTCTTCTTGCCCCAGGCGACTGTCGATTCGCTCCTTGACAACGGTTCCACTCAGCCTCATCTTGTCCTTAGAGGTTTCTGCACTCTTGGTACATGTGGTTGTCTTGAGCATTCTATTGCTCTTGTGAAGACCAGACCTATTAGCACCCTTCATCCCCGCGTTGTCTTTCTTCTTGCTCTTTTGCACTTGACCCGCAGAGACTGCATCACTTGCCTTCATGCCCTGATCCTCAGCTTCACACGACTGCAGTGATGGCACAGCTTTGTACACCTTCAACTTAGCGGCAGCCTTACTCCCTCTGAATGCAACTCTCCCATTAGCCTTGGTTTTATTCAAACGCGAGGCGATGACCTTCAGCTCCTCGACCAGCTGCAATCCTATCTGCTTCAGCTCGTTGATCTCATCCATGGTGACTGTCATTGACTCCCCCTCAACGATACACCCCTTCTCGGCAGTCTGTGCTGTAACCTTCTCCCATGACATAGCGGGTACTCGCCACAGCTCATCTTCCGAGTTCCACTCATCACGCAGGTCCCAAAGTACTTTGTTTCCGAACCTTCCTTTGAAGCGCCCAACTCTGCTTTCGGTGTTCACTCCGACGACCGCCAACTTCCTCAGCGATATCAAGCTCGCTGTCATTTCCGGTACAAACAGCACTTTCTCAATCACAATCGGCTTCCCGTCAGCTCCCAGGAATGCAGCCCGACCTGCACCCATCACTCTCATTGCATGTCCAGATCCGGACTTGACTTCCGAGACGGGTGCTGCACCTGTGCTTTCCAGCAGCTCTGCGCATGGTGTCATTGACCAAGCAGCTCCGGTGTCCAGAATCCACATCTCCTTATCTGCTTCCTTCTTAGTCTTCTTTGCATGCGTTTGTTCTCCCGCAGCTACATGGAAGAATTGTCCTACTGCCCTTCTCTCGCGTGAAGCCGTTTATCATGTATGATCAGCCACCATGTTAGCACCGTCATTCTTGCCTTCTTTCCCGTCTTCTTTCAAGCAGCTTGGGTCCCACCAATCTGGGCGTTCTTCACAATGCACCCATGTGTGTCCCGGCTTCTGACAATACCAACAATTTCCGCGAAAACCTCCAAATCCGCTTCCGTAGTCATTCCTCGATGGTCCGTTGTTCCGGCCTCCATAGTTATGTGCATTTTCTCCTCTTCCTCGGGAATCAACATTCCTCCTCCCATAACCTTCTCCTTGAAATCTGGTCACGTTGCCTTGCTGTTTGTTAGCCTCCTTCGCTCCTCGGCTCCGTCTGTTCCTCCAGCCGCCTCCTTGCACACTGTAGCCGCTGTTGCCATCATCCACATTGTTCATCTGACGCCTTCTAAAGTCTTCTTCAAGAATCTTACTCCTCACCCACTCGAGAGTCCACAACCCCTGGTTCTGTGGGAGGCTCAGTCCACTCGTAAACTGCAGCCATGATTCGGGTAACAGTGACAACATTTTCAGACACTTCGCTTGTTCGGGATACACAACTCCGGCCATCGTCAGCTTCGCGTACGTGTCTCGCATCCTGTCAAGAACAGGCTGTAGCGGCTCTCCTTCATTCACTCGCAATGAAGACAGCTCCCGTTCCAACATTAATGTAGCTGTAATCGACGTTGGGGCGTGCAGGTCCTTGAGGACAGCCCACGCTTTCGGTCCACATTCCGCTTCCTCGTGCAGGTGCATGATGTGCGCCCGCTGATTCAGTTCCAAGCTTTGTGAAAGTAGGTAGTACCTCACTGACGCTCGCTCATCCCATTCTTCTTGCAATGCTGGATCCATCGGCCTTCCTTCTTTTTCGTTCATCAACTTGAGAAGTCCCACTTGCCTGAAGTACAGCTGCATTTTCCACGCCCAATCATCATATCCCGTGCCGTTAAACTTATCAACCGAAAAGTTCTTCAAGACTTCCTTTAGCAGGGACCCCTGGCTGGTTCTCGCCATCCTTGGCGATGACACCCCCGTTGCTTGGCCTCCACTGCTTTCTTGGCTTGAAGACCCTTCTGCTCCATTCTTGCCCATGGCGTTCTAACGGCAACGACGTAGTAACCCGAGCTCTGATACCACTTGTTACTCTTGAAACGTGCTTCGCTAGCTACTAACAGGCTTTAGGTGGCACTAGAACTCTCTCCTCGGGGTCACCTCCGAGGGTCCTTGGGTGCCTGACCTAGGTCAGCCCCTATCCAAGGGTCCGAGTGTGTAGAGAGTGTCAAATGTTATATCTGCTACAGTTGTTTAGGCTGTAGTGGGGTAGATACTATGGGGTATGATAACTTTAGGGTTTCCTACTTGTACCCCACACTTTTCCTAGTCCAACCACTTCTCATTCTTGACATGGTATCAGAGCCTAGGTTAGGGACCTAGGACCGCTTACCTAAGGGCCCACCGATCCGCTACAGGTGCCCTCGTGCGCCCTATCGTCTTAGCGCCCTCGAGCGCCTCCCTCCTAGTGCGCCCTCGCGCGCCCACCTGCAGCCCGCTAGCAGCCCGAGCGCGGCCCCGCGTTTTTAGGCGAGTAGCCAATTCGCCGCCTAGGGCGGCCCGATTTTTCTCGCGCGCGCCAGTAGGCCGTCGCCCGTAGGCCCCGCTCGCCCCTAGGCCGACGCTCGACCCACCGCCGCCCGCCCGCAGGTCGCAGCCCGCGCGCAGCGGCGATCGTGCGTCGGCTGCTGCAGCTCACGCTTAGCCGCTGCACGAACGCAGCCGCGGCCCACGCGCAGCCGCACCCTAGGCGCCGCCGCGCACCGTGCATAGGCCCGCCGTCGCGCCGCCCTACCTGCCCGAGCCGCGCCGCCCGAGTCGCGCCGTCCTGACCGAGCCGCGCCGCCCCACCTGCAGCAACTGCTGTTCCTGTTCCTACTGTTACAGCTGTTCTTACTGCTACTACTGCTACTGCTACTACTACTGCTCTTACTGCTACTACTGCTACTGCTGCTACTACTGCTGTTACTGCTACTGCTGCTACTGCCACTATGGCCAGTCCTACCTTTCTCACTTTTGACTCTGAGGGCCGTCCGATTAAGTTTGACGTTTGGCTCGATGACCTGCACCTGCTCCTCCAGATCACTGCCAAGGACGATGTTTCCCTGTTTGACCACACGTCCGGCGCCGCTCCCGCACCTGCTGCTACTGCTGACAGCACTGCTCGCTCACAGTGGCAGACCCGTGACGCTCATGCTCGCCTAGCCGTTCGCAGCCACCTACCGTTAGATGAGCGCGAGCACTTTGGCCAGCATAAGACCGCTAAGGAGCTGTACGATGCTGTAGTTGCACGCTACTCCTCCCCTGCTACTACTGCGATAGGCCGTCTCTCACTGCCCTATCTCTTCCCCGATCTGTCCACTTTTGCCACTGTAGCTGACCTCATCACGCACCTCCGTACTAGTGATCTTTGCTACCGTGCCGCGCTTCCCCCCGATTTCCTAGCCAAGAACCCTCCCCCGATGTACCTCACACTCTATCACCTGGTCACCCGCCTCCCTGACTCCCTTCGCACTGTCAGGGACCACTTTCTCGCCCTCTCCCCTACCGACCTCACTATCAACCTGCTCGAGAAGGAACTCCTAGCAGCTGAGAAGAGCATTGTAGCTGTAGGTGCCTCTCGTGGTGACCCTCGCGCCCCCCTTCTTTGAGGGGTGCTCCCCCGTCCCCCTCCTCCCCTCCATTGCATCTGCTGCTGCTGTCGACTACCTCGGTGCTGAGGGGGTCGGGGCTGCGTCTGCTCCTAGTGGGAGGCGCAAGGGCGGCAGGGGCAAGGGGGGCAGGGGTGGCGGGGGTGGCGGCGGGGGCGGCGGTGGTGGAGGGGGTGGAGGCGGCGGGGGTGGTGGCGGTGGTGGGAGTGGTGCTGGTGGTGGGGGGGTCAGTGGCGGAGCCGGGGGTGGTGGCGGCGGTGGTGGCGGGGGTGGCGGGGGTGGTGGTGGCAGTGGTGGCGGCAGTGGAGCTGGTGGCGGGCGCGGTGGAGCGGTGCAGCGTGGGGGGATCGGAGGTGGCCAGAGGCAGCAGCAGCAGCGCCCCGGCGAGACCCCGTCATCCCAGCAGCTCCGTGAGTGGTACTCTCAGCGTGGGGGGTCTGGGGGTGGAGGTACCTGC